TGGAGGAGGTTGCGGTCACGTGCATCTCATTATCCAATTACGTTTATGGCTCATTTCAAGTCTGAAGCACCGGGCAAACTTGGGAGTGATTTGTGATCGCTTCGGAAAAAGTGCGGCTCGTTGAAAAAAGTTGAACGATGGGATGTTGCAACCTGTAGGTTGATTATCCGGTATCTTGCAAATAATAATTATTGATTCTCGTGCAGTGTTAGATATTTGCGATGTTGATGGTATCTCGGCCGATAGATATTGATGGACCAGCGAGCACCCGTCGATACCGTCTTCATTACCTTCGCCGCATGTTCTCGTTTTACATATCTCGATGCACGAAGATTACTAAACGACTTTTAATGCGTTAACTCATGCTATTAACGAAATATGCTCCGCCATGGCAATAAAACGTATTCAAGTAGCCCCAGCGTCTAGGGAAATATCTCAATCAGCCTCCGTGCACGCAATTATCGATTGCCTCGTAAACATCGCCAATTCTATGCAAAAGCTCCCGATAAATTAATACCATTCTTATTAATATACGAGCATACGCGTTCGTTTATCCAGACAAATACACCCATAAATAACCCACGGCTTCCAAACCCAGGAGATTAATCGTCGAGACTTTTTGAGTTATTTCGTTGTCGGATGAGTTATCGGAGGCGTGACCTTGGATGATAAGCCTTTCTAGAGATTCTTTCTACCTGGTGTTCCATCTTCTTGAATGACGGATTTTTAAGAGGAAACCGCGGGGCGTCTACCTGTACGCCAATGGCGAGCACTGGACGGACTCTCTTCCACTGGGACGACTTCCAACCGAACTAAGTTAGTCGGGTTAATATCGTGCAGAATGCCGACACGCCATCCGGGGTTAATTAATGGCCAAGAAAAAGAAATAGGGTACGAGTTGTTGCTTGGATTTGCTAGTTTTGGCGAGATGCGGTGAGTCTTGTCTTGATAGATTAGAGCGTTGAAATCTCCGGATTCGCGGGATGAAAGCCAACTCGTGACGACATGGCGTGATTTTGGGTTGGAAATTTTCACTTGTGAGTCGTCTTAAATTAATATCATTAATATTATTATTAGATATAATCTACACGTGCAAGATTTTTTAGATTTCGTGCCAGAATTTAGGTTATACGATTTTCATGGCGAATACATTTTGATTTAAAGAGAAATGTAGAGACGGTAAAATTAACGCTAAAAAATTCACGAATCCTACCTAAATAGTTGTGGGCTATACAATTATGCATTTTTGGAAAATTTTATTTGTAAATAAACAGATGCTTCTATTAAGTATAAGCTTGATAGAAAAACTATTTATACTTACTTATTAGGAAATATGTTGTTATTCTTATTTTCTTGTTAAGAATTTTTTGTTTTGTTTCAATAATTAATTTATAGTCGACTGTCTTATTTTGTTTTTTTTTTTTCAAAGTTTGCAAGAATTTTGATTGATTTCGTAACCAATTTACATGGTATTAAAATGCCTTACTTAATTGAGTAGATAATAATCGATCAAAATGAACACATCAAACTGTGGGTATACCTACACCCAGGATGTTTCATATTAATACTGTGATCGTCAGCATTTCTCATTTCTTTTAGAAAATTAAGACAACTTTTTTCCATTAATTATTATTATTTTTTTTTTAATTACAATAAAGTATTTATTTCGTGTAACAGATTATGTGAAGAAAAATTCGGGTAAATAGTATCTGAAAGGTCTTCAACAACGTTCGAATCTTTTGCCATAGACCTAAATTGATTATCCTTAAGAAAAATCTTACTTAAATAACAAAGTAACAAAGGATACCACCATACATTTTTTAGTAACTCTAGACAGATTTTTTGTTACCAAATTTATTTTGTATTTTTATTTATGAAACGACAAAAATAACTAATAATAATAATGTAATATTTGTCCATAGTGGGAAACTAATCATAAATAAACTTTACAAGATAACATCAACAAAATGTATTCTATTATCAAATATTCTTCATTATTACACTACTGGAACTACATAACTGTCTGTGTAACTTACTAATACTTACATTTATTGAATTTTATGAAGAATCCATTGTCAAATGCTTATGAAGTCAAAGTCGTACACAGACTGAAGCTTTCGGTGTACTATATATAAATATTAATTCTGGCAAACACAGTGTAAAACCTATGTGAATTTCTTAAATTGGGACAGCGAACATGAAAATACATTTCATATAATAAGTTTGGACATTTAGTTATTCCGTGTATTAATTTATGTAGAGAAATAATTGTAATATATTGACGCTTAAGATATAAATTTGGTAAATTAAATTCATGAAATAATAACAGATTTTGGGGACAATCTATATCTATGGATAATATCTGCACTTTGTATAAAACAAATATTTACAAAATTTTCTATGAAGCTAGCTTTTCTAGTGCACTTATGTGAGTACCATAAGATCTCCTAAGTACACAAAGATAATTTAGGTAATTTTGATTGTTTATACATGTTAAAAATAGTTAACAAAGGCTCAGTGCTATGAAAATCCCTACTACCACTTATACGATACATGACAAATGTAATTTAAGTGTATTACGAAAAACGGTAATAATAATAATTCAGGATTCTTAACAATTCTAAATTCTAGAAATTCACAATCTCTCAATTTACATACACTTTGAGCTATTTTTAAGTCATCAGCATATAAATTGTAATATATTGTAATTTGAGAATCATGAAAACTGCTTTGATTTGTCAAAATTAAATAAATCCATGCCGATGTAGTTGATTCTTGAAAAACTTGAAATGTAACTCGAAATTATTACTTACTAGCATTATCGCATCAAAGTGAGCGCTGACTTTGCCGCCTCGTCGAAATAAAAATTATAATTAGACTATCAAACTAATTGTTATTCAATGGTGTCGTAGGGCGAGCGGCAAAATTAGTTTTTAATGTTTCTATTTATATTATTATTATTGTTATTATTATATGTACGAGTACGAAAACATAGGTGTCCCGTTTCCGTCCGTCCGTCTGTCTGTTTGTCGCCGTCTGTACGAATTTGTCTTAACATATAATCTCTGAAACTACTTGACCGATTGTTGTGAAATTTTGCATGTATATTAGGAGTTGCATCTAGATAGTAAAACGCTTACCATCTAGTCATCCCCACCAACAGTGTGATGACGTCACCTCAAAATTGTACACAGTAAATGGGTTTTAAATTATGTAAAATAACATATTCCTCCACGTGTAGTTTATGAATCCGTATTGAATTTTTATCTGAGGCATCCAGATTTTTGAATTTTTTTCTTAATATACATTGTATTATTTGAACAACACGATACTCTAAACATGTTTTAATTTCTTGTAAAGAAATAAGAATTTTGCAGTTAAGCTTGGTTCACGGCGAATAAAAAGAAACCATCACAATAGAAACAGGGCGCGTGGGCGGGGCTTATATTTTGCCTTTTTGTTTTAATATGTGCAGACTTCTTTTCACAACATGTTTAAAATGGAAAATTTGTGTAAGGATGACATCCAAAAATGTTTTCAAGCATTTTCCACCAAATCTTTCTGTTTCTTTATTCCATCTTTGTTTCAGTGGTCAAAATTTTCGTAGGAATCATAAAAGAAGAGAACATCGCGATTTAGTCACCAATATCCTGGACAAACACAATTAAGAATTAACATGAGCATTAAAATTCATCATTTGTTGCGTAGCCATTTTGATCGATTTTCTCACAATTTTGGCGATTACAGCGAACAGCGGGGAAAATGTTCTCACAAAGACATAAGGGTAATGGAAGAAAGGTACCAATGCCGGTGGAATCGCAATGTGATGGCAGATTGCAGTTGAATTTTACAAAGAGATTGTCCTGATCAGAAATATTGTAGAATATCCCGCAAAAAAACGTTTTTCTTGTTTTTTTTTAATCATTAATTAATAATAATGTATGCCTAACACATATTAGCAGTTTGATTTAAAAATAAGTCTTAAAATAAACAAGGTGCATTTTTCTAGAACAAGAGTCAATTCGGCAAATATAATATTTTTTTCGTATTCAGCAGACTTAAAATATCCTGAATCGACTCTCAAAGTAGTTGCCGCAAGACCAGTGTTCCCGGTGAATCGATCATATCGTTGATAAATGTAACGACCATAAGTGGTCTCAAATTGCAACCTTCAGCTACACCGCAAGATGATTGAAAAGTTATCCATCTAAAACCTTTATGCTCTACATATTTACTCCTATCAACGATAATTGTATAAACAACTGAATACAAACCCTATGAGTGTAATTTATTAAGTAAAATGTACAGATGAGGGATTCCGTGATCTTTAGATCATGACGTGAACAGTGATCGTTCTCTCTCAGTCACGGTGATTTGTAGATCACGTTTTCGACAACCCACTTTACATGACAAGCGGTATGATATGAAAATAGTGATTGGCTTTTTTGACTACGGAAGATCGAGGATCACTTACTTACCTATTAGCTGAAAATGCCGATGCATCGTGAATAGTTATCACTACCTAGATGTTATCCCGAATTTTAGAGCAAATTGTTGAAAAGAACATAAAACCATAATTTTCTATTCTTAGTTTGTCAAAACGTGTCACTGTTAGGTACCAACAGTGAAAAACAGATCACGGTGAAATATCATTCATCTTTAGGAAAATTTTGTTTTAGAATGTTCCAAAGAATAGTTTCAAAAAAGTTGCAGAAATTTTGGGTCTGCGGTTCGCGATTTTTGATTTATTCTAAAGACTGTTCTATAAGAACAGGACAGACTTTTGAAAACTTTCACTTTTGTGAACTGAAATGACAATATTAATTTTGGAACTGTGAAGATTTTTCAGTTTTCAGTCATCAACACATTACACCTCAAGAGTTCTTCTTTTCTTCTTTTTTTACAGAAAGTATCTACTATAGGATGATGAGAGAACAAAACATTTTTCTAAATATCAGTTCATACTGACCCTAGTATTAATTTTTTTGTTTTCGTTTCAGGTGCGAATGGCCTTAGAAGGAGAGGCCGTCAGACGTATACCCGGTACCAGACCCTGGAACTGGAAAAAGAATTCCACACAAACCACTACCTGACCCGGCGGCGGCGGATAGAAATGGCGCACGCCCTCTGTTTAACAGAACGACAAATAAAAATATGGTTCCAGAATCGGCGAATGAAATTAAAGAAGGAAATTCAAGCCATCAAAGAACTAAACGAACAAGAAAAACAAGCACAAGCTCAAAAAGCGGCGGCAGCGGCAGCTGCGGCGGTGGCTTCTCAAGTGGACCAGAATTAGTGGATTACTTCGGTGTTGTTGGCGGATCAACATAATTCTTAAAACAAGGTAAGTTCTTAGCAGCTCGTTTGCAGATATCTAAATATATCCGGTGTAGCTCTATTCAAATACGGGATTTGTGGCTTCCACTTGCGGTGGACTATTGAAACGTGCGAATGGGATAAGAAACCGCAACGTTGTGTAATAATAATAAAGGAGGGTGGTTGTGTCAATAATGGATTACCTTCAATAGGAGACCATCGAATGACTTTGTTTACAACGAGCTGGGGAGAGGAGAAAGCAAGATGGCAATCAAACCCGTTGTGGCCCCGGTTTACGACTTGACAAAGAGATGATAATTCTCGGGGGTGTTTTCATATGAACGGCTTCGTTTTTTGGGGAAATTAGTTAAAGTCGGAATCATCACGAATAACCACACAGTAAAAAATATCTACAAATTTTCGTCCAAGACTTTCAAATTATTGTTGCTAATTGCTAACCAACCAATTTGAATAAGTAGGACACAAGTAATTAATGCAAGTTTAAACTTGAGTTCAAATTAACACAAACGTTTCAAAGACCGTTTTTCTCTTAATTTTGACTGCCCATACATAGTTCCATGATTTTCTTCTCAAAAATATTCTATGTACCCCAATATACCTATAAGAAACGCGAACTTAAAAGTAGGTACCTATAGTTTCCTACACAAAAAAACAGTTGTTTTATTCAAGTTTAGATGTGGGTTTCCTTATACTAAAACAAGAAATAACGGGTAGACACCAAGTTTTATTTAATTTGAACAAGCCCTCCGCAACCCATGTGTTGATAGTGTCCATAGTTTCACTACTTTTATTTAGACTCTTTCCAAGTGATCGAACGAAAACGTGGTCAAATTTTCACGCGTAAATGGCACTTTAGTTGAGTTACTGGGGTTAACTTGCGGTTTATATAACATATTCGCCACCATACTTTTTTGCTGTGTGGGGGTTGTTTGGGGGAAAAATCAATACTCCATTGCCGATGTACTCGAACGCACCTAATTATCATTATGGACCGGCCCTCTTTCTCTTTAAATATTCAAAAATAAGACCAGTAAATATTATAAAAATTATCTCCCCTCAAGAAATGCCGGCAAAAAGAAAATTAAGATAATTGTGTTTCCATTCGGCTATTTGTAATGCCTCTGAATTTATGTACGGAATTTTAGTGTTTAATCTTCGAGTGGAGAAAATCCCCTTGCGTAATTACTTGGCGTGAGAGATGGCGCCCCGGTTGCATTCTGGCAAGCGTTCCGTTCTGCCATAGAGTACACCCCTCCAATGTTTCATAATTGATCAATTTAATTGCATTTCTTACACTATAGAAAATCTAACTTGGGGCATTCATTTGTTGGGACCTCCAGAATTGTAATTAAGAGAGAGACCGAATCAAATAATTAAGCTCTCGGCTGGGAACGGGGTGACGAATTGGAGCTTTATTTGGGTTTTTAAACCGTATTTTTTATTATTATTTAAAACTGAATGGGGGAGCTAATCTAGTGTTTCTGTAAACAGCTTATATACCTAGTTTTTTTTAAACAAAATTTTTTAACCCTTTAAATCTAACGACGAATACTTACACAATTTTTGTATTATTTACAGCTTAAAAGATCATAGTTAATTGGGCTACAGGGGACCGAAGAATAGTGTTTGTTGTTTTTAGTAAAGCACAACAAAATTTCATAATATTATATCATGTTTCTTTTGTCTTATCTTAAATTATCATAAATTTTGATTGTTCTTTGTTAATACATAGTTAAAAGTTTGCAATATTAAAAGCGTGTAACGTATGTTTTTGTCCATTTTTTTCTGTGTAACTAGCAAGCGTTTTTGCTAAGTTTAAAATTTAATAATAAACAAATAAAATATGCCTATGTATTTTTTTACTGAGTAAACGAAAGCTGTGAGTTTTGTAGATTTAAAATTATTTTTTTAAATCTCGTTGAATGAGTTGAATGTAATTTATAACTTTTAGTTTCATAAATAAATATTTTACTAAATCTCTAACGCTGAAATAAATTCGATAAACAATTTTGGAATAAAATATAACAATAAAAGTCGCAAAATGGGTTTAGTTTTTACACGGTACTACCTATGTACCTATATTGTTGAAAATGCTATACAATCAGCAAATAAATGTTTGAAAGTCTGGTTTTAACAGGAATAATAATGATTAAAATAAAGAGAAAAAAATTATATATTTCGAAAAAAAATTAGACGTTGCTTCTAATGAATAATGAGAGAATGGGTTCATAGAGCACTCACAAGAATATAATTATACTTAAAACGCTGTACGTACAAGATTATAATGACATTACATCAATTATACGCTGTTATAGATCTGCATAAATCGTGCTGATAAGATCTAAATTACATACTGTAAATTTTGTTCTTTTTTGTTTACACTGTGGAATATGTTTTTAATTAATAACACGAGTACCTAGGTGCGAGATAAAAAGAATGTACTATGTAATTTATTTAACGGTATTTAATGTGGAGCAAACAAATTAAATTTTGGTCCATTTTTTAAGCTTTTTATTATATTTTGACACTTCTTTAGTGGCCAGTTTCGCTATTAAATTTAAGTTATTTTTACGACAAAGTAAATTTATTTATATAAATAAAAATATCACATCATTTAAAACACTCTGCCTTAGATACAAGCGAAATTCAAAATATCAAACTTTGCAAAAAAAAAATATTTTCATTATTCACTAGTAAGTGAGTATTTTTATTTTGCCTACATACCAACAGTTAAAATTCGAAAAGTATTAATTAATTATTTATGTCTTAAGCATACATGAAAAATACTTGTTTATGGAAGAATAAGAACAAATCAGATGTTGTGTAACAAATAAACTACATATTCATTTTTTTTATTGTAGTTTAAAATATTATGAATGGAAAAGAACATGTATCTAATAAATAACATATATATTAATAACTTTAATTTAATGAGCTAATATAGAAAAAACTGAATAATGTAGTAATAAATTAGATCGCTTTGTTAGAAGATTTATGCGACTTGTAAGTTTGAGGTAACTAGATATAAACAATTTATAATTTATGACTTGCATATATTTTATTTTAATTATCGTAGTACAAGTTTAGCGTAATATTCCAGCTAATTATAACTTCATCATAGAAAATCGCTCCCATAATTATTTATGTCTTGCTATGTCATGAATTTCAATGAGGTATGCAGTATCGATAGAAATCTGATTAGTCATAGATAGTTAAATCCTAATTAATTATGTAGGCAGAGAAGAAACATGTTGCTGCGTAACGCAAATTAAAAAATAAAGAAAAATTTCGGTTTACTCCGGTGCGGCTTAATTAAAAATCATAGAATGTGAGATAACACATCGTGCTCGATTTTTTAGTCTATTAAAATTAAGTTTTTTGTTAAAAGTGCAAATATTAAATAAATCAAAATTGCGTATCGTTGTTTGTACCTATAATATAGATGTTATGGTGGCAACCAGTAATACACAAATTTATGACTTCTAACCTAATACTTTATCCACACTGTATGAACTTCCGTAAATTTTTCGGCATCAACACGATCATGTTTAATTTTCAACATTTGCCAAAATGTTATTTAAATAATTGATTAATGTATTAAACTTGCTCCTGATTTTATTATTCTAAATCCTCAGTGATAATAAATTAACAACTCTAATCAAATTATAAACACGCCAATAGCCATCTAATAAATAAACAACGTGGGAGAAGCTTTCAACACGCGAATTCTCTAAACAATTTCGGAACACAGTTGTATTTGGCCCCGTAGTGCCCTCTGTCGTCGTTTACATTAACACACTCCTAATTGAGCACAACAACACGAACGATAAATCTGTCCAAATTAGTCAAAAATTGCCCAACTCGAAAATAACACAATTATGAAAACAATGAACAAAACCGTTCCGACTTGCGCAAAAAAAATCGTTTTAAAACAAATGTCGGTGATAAAACGAAAGCGCGTCGTAACTCGTAGGCTTTATAGCAACCATTAAATTGGTTCTGGAGCAGGCTAGAATAGTGTGCGAGTCGTTAAACTGTTTATATGGCGTATAGTTCGGCTACTAGGGGCTAGGTGGCACTGCTGCGGTCAAGGCTCGCTGCGATATTGAAAGCCGATATTTTATGGCTCAAAAGTAAACAGTCGAGAATTGTTCGTGAAGGTTTTTCAGAGATGCGAATGTGTTTTTTTCTTGCGCAAACGTTGCTAGCTTTTAATGAATGTTTTATTGGTAAAATAACTTGTGTTTGAAATAAATTTCGAAGGTGGCGTCAGTCTAGTTGTTGGAAGGTGTAGGTAGACTTTCCCGGAATGGAAATCGCTTAATTAAAATTTTCTTTTCCGTTCTTTGTAATGGTATGCAAGGTGGGCGTGTCTGTATGGAAGTGACTGTTTTACAGTTCCGATTGAATTTGTTCCCATAAGTCCAGATTCAAACCCTTCGGGGACAGACGACCCTAAACGGTCGTTTTCCTTCTCTTCTATCGGCCGTTTTATTACAAATCTCTAACAAGTGCCTTTGAAATCTACCAGAGGGGATTGGCAACGTAGCAAACGGTCCTGAATAAATATGGCGCCCATTTTTTATTTATCGACGTTTCGGATGTGCAGTCTGATGAAGAAAAAACGGAATATAGACGTCGGTTAATAAAGAGCGGCAATTATGATAATTTTATGAGAGTTATAAAAGTTGGGTACGAAGAAAGGCGCTTGACGTCGAGGATCATTCACAAATAAACTAAATATGAGTAACGACCAATAAAAGCTGAGTATTTGTTGATTCAACTAACTGATGTAGTAAAGCATGTAAACATGCAACCGTAATACGAGGGACATTACGACTTTACGACCACGTTTACAGGTCATAAAAATCAGTTTAACTACCGAGAAGTGTGTTAGGCTTTTATTACATGTTACTTCTTCATTCTGGAGGTTTATGGCGTGTCACTTTTGAGTGCTCTTTAATGGCTTTTTAAGTGGTACATTAGATTAGCCATTGATGCTTTATC